CCATCTAAGATACGTCGACCTGATTTTCTTAAAACTTTAGATCACCCAACTGGATTAGAACTTGACATTTATTACCCACAATATGGATTTGCAACTGAAGTGCAAGGAGAACAGCACAAAAGATATATAGAATTCTTTCACGGAGGAGATCTCAATAATTTTATAAAACAGCAAGCACGGGATCAACTCAAGAAAGAATAATGCGAAAAGAATCAGATTGCCTTGAGGTATGTTTGGTATTATGAAGACCCGTATATAGTTATTCCAGTGCATCTCCGAGAATTGGGCCTCATTGAATAAACTCAAAACTTTAATGCTTTATGATCATTACATACACTTTTTTTTTCCGAAACACATACACCCCACCCCACACCATAGACTATTTAAAAAATTATTAAGCACGAAATTTTATTTAATTTCAATATGAATACATATACTGCGTCATTATTCAATTAAATCCAGACCATTATTCGAATGTTTTTGCTGATTAAATTTGGCTATAGAAATTCTCATTTTAACATTCATTCCGATCCTTGTAATTGTGGTATTTGGCCGAAAATATCGTTTTTAAGAAATACGTAGGGTTGCCTATAGGGTTTGTAATGCGGAATATTATTAAGAACATCGTAACCAATTACACCACATGTGACACCAGCTGGATTACTTTGCCATGAATGAATTTCGTTTGTCCTAACCCAACCAGACCAGTTGATCCCATCACCTAAGCAAATGTACCAATCTCTTGAAGCCTGAAACATTTTTGCGCCAGCACCATATCCATCAGCTCTACTAGGATTTGGACTCCAACCATCTTGAGCACTATATAGCTTTTTTCTTATAAAGTATGGGATTACAGTCGTTGCTGCGCCTGTATCAATTATCATTCGGAAACCTTGCTCTACATTTGCCATTCCCGCTTCATCCCGGGCATTTACTACATTTCGAAGACGAATATGCACCTATATTTGGCAAAAGAAATCCAAATGATGTCGTTCTTATTAGGGCATTGACAGGTATAATATATCAAATAACACCTGTCAATGACCTTATAATCCACAAATTATAAATCATACGAACCTGCCACTCTTTCTCTGCACCTGCATTTGTATTAGCATCAGATACTGAAAATCTACGCAATTCAACAATACGTTCTTTAACAGGTACGTAATAGCACCCCGGATAATCCTCCCTCATTTTCTTTTCTTCTTTACTTGATCCGTACCTAACAAATTTCCCATGAACGATTAAAATATGTGTACCCTGTGATGGATCAAGAGTGTCGGATTCGAGTAAACGACGATATTCAAGTGCATTTGTGGCGAGTTCCTTTCCGATTGGATCCCAATCTGGATCGATGACATAATCAAAAATTAAGCGACGCTCATTAATGTCCGTCGGGGGTTGAGGCCAAACGAAATCTGAACCAGCGAAGACTAAACAAAGGATATGTTGCTTTTAAATAAGTTGAATAGTGATAACTTCAAACCAATCAAGCTGGACCAGTCTTATTACGCACTATAAAATTTCTTCCACTCATCTTTATTTTTTGTGAATTTATCGAGTCCTAGTCTTACTGCAAAGGTTTCGATGTCACCTTCAACATTTGCTACCGATTTTGAAGTGAATTCCGTACTAATAGACTCTCCGGATTTAGTTTCTGAAGCTGTGTTCTCTTGTTTTTCATCCTTGAGGTCAGATGAGTCCTTCAAACTCAGGTTTTCAGCAAACTTTTTTTCGAGATCAGGCTCTTCAAATGTATACAAGAAATTAGAATATAATAAAAAGAGTATAAATAACCATATACGAAAGACGAACCAGAAACGGTATTACTAATTTCAGGTCGGTTGGTCGTCATTTCAACACCTATAACACGCGTGGGTTGGCATGTTAACATTCCGAAATCAGTACATTCCTGAAACACGATAAAAAACCTACTTGGAGTTTTTTTCTTTTTTAATATTTTTGGTATTTTTGGAAGCTTAGGTAATTTAAGTTTGCGTTCCGAGGACATTTTGGTATTACTAAAAACTGGTCTTTGTAAGAACAGTAGATAACAGATAAGGCGATCTAATTTTGTGCAATGCAAAATTATCATCACGTGTCCAAAATCGCTGGCCGTGCATCGATGGTCATTAATAGCTACCTTCGAAAAAAAGAATTTATTATATTTGATCTCACTAGGCCAGAAGATGATCCTCTTGCAATCCGCCTAAGGTTTGACACTTCACTAAACCTGCAGAAAGAGATAGAGGTGAGGCAGAA